CCTACTGACACCTCAACCCTTGCCCTAACTCACTTGTCTCATCCGTGTTGAGGATGCGTTCCGGCGGGAGCTTGGTCTCCTCCAGGTACTCCGCCCATGCTTTGTAGAAAGCTTGAAGGCGAGGCTCGCCGTCTTCGTTAATCCGGTTTGCTTCGTAGATGTGGGTGGCTCGCTCCGACAAACCCGGGTGTCTCGCCATAAACCCCTCAAGCCAGCTGTCCCCAGGGCCCTTGTCTGGGTCCCAGGGCACCTTGCGCCCGTCGGTGCAGATGTTGCGCACAGCGTCTCTCAGCTCCCTCCGACCCAACAGCAAGAAGTGTCGGGAGGCGTAGATCAAGACGTCTTCTACGAAATCTTCCTCCTCCTTGCTCAGGACAGTCCCGGGACCAACCCTCGCATCTATGGCCACCTTGTTCTTCACACGGTCGTGCAGCGAGGCTAGCGGTAACCCGTAGGTCCTCGCAGCAACGCGGAGCGACATCTCACCGCTGCGTACCGCATCTACAGCCTTCTGGGCCTGCTCTGGGTCTACTCTCTTACGTCCCATGCTTAGCAGCAGGACCCCGAAAAGGGCAAAGATGCCCCACATAAGGGGTGTGGGTGAGGGCTGTGCTGTATCTCGGGAGTGCTTGACCCGATCGACACGCGGAGGTGCTCAAACGAAAGCTAACGGAAAGCTGAAGATTTCAAAAAAAAAATTGGGGGGCTCCGCGCATTGTGCGCCGAGGGACGTGCATTTGAAACAAGTGTTCGTTAAAGGGGGGGTGTTCGTTAATACCCTGGTTTACTCTATTATATTTCCCCGACATGTGGAGCCACAAGGAGAGGGGAAGTTTCCGGGTTTGTATCTGGTTATAAGCACGCACACACACAAACATTACACATGGCAAAGGTAAGAGGAGTATAAAAATAATTAGTGAATGGTCGGAACGCGATCAGGCCAGCCAGGTGCCTCGCGTGCCTCTAACCCCCATCTCACTACAGGCAGACTGGACTGACTGTCTGCTTGCACTGACGTACTGCCCCCACGAGCAATGAACTGTCGAAGTGACGGAACCTTGCCAAGCTCACACAACGAGTCGAACCACAAAAGAACTAAGCGGGTACTGCAAAAATGCAACAAAAAATGAAGCGACCGATACGAAAAACAACTTCTGACTGTGCTCCTGAATATTGTATAGTAGTAATAGTAGTGTATCTTAGGAACGGCACCGTCATCCAAGCCGATGGTGGAAGGAAAAAAACAACGATAACGCCGACTAACGTCGATTTCCACTATATTTTGTATGCGTACCACATCTACAACCAAAGCTTCAGCGACAATCCCGACCAAGCCTCACACGACGTACACGCTCCTCGGTAACTGCCGCGAACACCTCCTGCGGCTGCAATAATTCCTGCGCCCATTCTTGGGAGCGAGGGGAGGTAGCTCCGATCGCGGTTGGTTAGGAGCAGCATCGGGGGGACCGGCGGCGGCGGCGGCGGCGGTGCCCCCCACAGGAGACGGAGGCAACGTCGAGGCGGAGGAGCAAGCGCGCACTGAACGCAGCGACGACGGGTGTTCGTCTGACACTGCTTCTCCTCTTTCTCGTTGCGTCCACCAGCGCCCACCACCCGGGTGGTGGGTGTCATCTTCCGTGCGGCCCTCCTGGAAGTCCCAAAACGTCGGCTTCTGGGATACGAGCGCGGGGGAATAAGATGCGGTTGAAACATCGGAGGACTCGGGCACCGCCGCCGGTTGCCGTTGCAGGCACTTGGTGCGTTCAATCTTTGCCTGGGTGGCGTGAGGGGCGGCCGAAGGCGGGAGGCGGCGGGTGGGATGTGTCAAAAAAACAAAGACAAGGCTGAGAGTTTATCTAGGGACTGCTCAGTCTGATACTTGCTGACCACAGTTAGTTATGGGAGCGTGCGAAGTGTGCAGCAATAAACATTAGCTGTTGTTGTTGTTGTTGTTGATGTTGTTGTTGTTGTTTCGAATAACGCGCGTGCTTGGGCGAGACGATGCCTTGGTCTTATTGCTGTGGAAGAAGCCCGTACGCCTGAAAACTAGGAGTACACACTAAAGGTTGAACGCAGGGCGACACACACATTCGAAGAGAGAGCCATTGCAAGGTACGAGACAATCTCATTCGTTGTGAGCTCTAGATACATACATACATATTATGCATAAGAGCTACCGATCGAGTAGAGAACGGCGATGACAGCTGCCTGTAGTCTACACTAAAAAACGAATCGATATTAGCATAGCAGCGCACAACAGGGTGTAGATCCCCTTGTGCGTACTGTACACACATCCAACATACACTATAATAGAACCATAGAAAGAACCTTACGGAATATCCACCGTTCAACCAATGAGATGGAGCTCCAAGCCAAAAGAGCGCAAAAAAAACCACGAACAAGTAGAGAGCTGTGCGTGTTCAGGGGAAGCATGCGCAACAAATGGAAACAAAGACAAGCAGCCATGTACTCTGCCGCATCTGCCCACCATACCGAAGACGTTTCGACTACGCACAAGCACACTTCCCAGCAAAACATCAACCGCAGGGCTCCTTTCTGCCCGACTACATAGACCAACATCAGCAGTTTCACCTGCACCGGCTTGGTGAAGGAGTGTCCGCTGACATCCAAGGCCGTCCGTGGTCGCCACTGCCGTCGCTTTCGTGGTTTGTCGGCATCGATTTCCGCCATCTTCACCTCGTTGGCGTGGGCAATCGCCGCCATTCCCGCGGTGGTCGCCGATGCCATCGGTGCTGCCGCCGCCGCCGGAGCTGGAGCAGCGTGGCGGGGAGATGGGGAGAGCCAGAGCAGGGCCCGAATGACGCCGATGAACTCGGTGGCCGCGCTTCTCTTCGGTGCCGTTTCTTGTTGATGAGTGCCGTTGTTGTTGTTCGCTGTTGAAGTGGTCGAGGTTGCTCTGGACGCACCGCCGCTGGTTGGCCCTCTGTCCTTGCTGCGGACGCCCATCGCCATCATGCCTTTTGGCACCTTGAGCCGTTTGTGTTGGTCTAGAAAGCGATGTTTTGTCAAGCCGCCGTGGCCGCCGGGCTTAAGGTCGTCTTCTCGCCTGCAGCACGGCGTGCCCCCGGCAGCGGCCGTCTCCTCCGAAAGCACCTGGTGTACGCATATGTAAGTGGAGAAAGGTGGGAAACACCAGCGAGGCTTAACTTGCCATTAGACCAAGGCCGAATCTTCGAGGGCCGCACTGACACCGACTACACCGCTGTGGGTGTCGTAGGAGGCACTGCTGGCGTAAGGGTGGCACACCTCTCAATGAGTGTGAGAAGGGCAGCAGTCAGGGAACTCGTCCTGCTAGTGGACACTTGGGCCGGTTGATGCGATTGATGCAAGGCAATTACTTTTTGGGGCGGCATAATATAGACCAGAGATTCAACTCGCACCTCACATCACAACTTGCAGTCCGGCCGGAAAAAACACCCTCCGTACCCACGACGCAAAACGGCCACGATCTTGTGCTACTTTTCAAACGGAAATACGTAGGTCCCATGACTACATCTGAACCACAAAGTAAGGTGTGGTCCACATCCGGCTTCAACGGGCAAACGGATCCTCAGGTGCGCGTTGACATGCACCCTGGCGCGGCCCTGAAGATCCCCGACGAGGAGCAATATCCAAAGCTCACAAGAGATTTTTTGTACATACATGGCAGGCGGAGTTTTCGCCTCCCAACGCTGGTTGCTCCGCGACAAGGCGATCAAGCTGGGCACGCACTGCTGTAGTTGCAACGTGTCGTCTTCGAGAGGAGCAAAATGAAGAATACTACAGCAGGTCCTTGTACGAAAAAGGCGAAATATCACGGCGGGTACGCCATGGGTACGTACTCATTTTTGCACCTGCCGCCGGGGGCTCCACGAAAATGTATGTTGTGCATGTGCAAAAATGCCTCACGACGCTACGTACGGGAGTTGGTTCAAATCTCTTGCGGGCGCTGCCCCAGTCTGACGGACTTGAGGAAGCCCTCTTGTGGATAACTTCGCACGGATCCCGGGACCAACCGACAGACAGCAGAAGCGCGGAGGCATCTCCATGCCCCCTGATTTCCACCAGAAACTTTTCGAGTACAACACTTGGGAGACTGGAGCAGCGGCGGCAGCAGCAGCAAGCAGCAGACCACTGCTGTATGCACGTCTGAAAAGGGTCGACTTTTGCCCTCGAGATTTTTATCTCTGCTCTCACCTGATGACCCGCGAGTATTTCGTTGGTCGTTGCCTTGTGGCTGGCGTGTGGGATGGATCGCCTCGTCGTTGCCCTACGGTATTGACGCCAGGAAAACGACAGAGTCGCCGAGATTTGCACTTGCACCAGGGCCGAAGTTTGGTTGTACTTCGAGAGTTCTTCCGCCGGATCTCCATCATCTCCGCTTTCGACGTACACATTCATACATTCATAGAATGACATAAGACAATGTCTTATGTCTTTCAAAGACATGCTGACGTGCTGGCGTGTTGGCTTCTACGGTGCCGGCGTACCGGCTGGCAGCCCCAAAGGTTGGTTGACAATCTTTTTTCAGACAAGCATCCAGCAGCAGCTGAGCGGGGCACGCTCCGATATCAAATACCTCTGATAAAGGCGAGAGGGGGGGTAAATACGATATAGTCTAGCTATATATATATATAGTCAACGTCCTTGCAAAACAATGGACCCATCAGCAGACACCACGCCGCCGGTAGCCGTGGGCGCGGCAGAAGCTGGATCGTCGGCTGTTGATCCTGCCGTGAGCAGCGGCGATGTGGCCGAGGCTGTGGCCAAGGGTGAGACGACTGCGGTGAGCGAGACTGCTGCTCCAACAGTGGTTGCATCGTCGCCAGCCACTGGTAGCGAGCCCGTCGCTGATGCCGTGGCGACAACATCTTCGGTGCCAGTCGGGATGTCACCTGCTCATGGAGGCGACGTTGCGGGCGCCGGGGTTGCTGCAGCTGTCCCCGGCGAAGCTGTGATGGGAGAAGGGCTGGGCGCCGGGAAGACGTCTCACGGCGTTGGTGCTGCCGCCGCTGAGAGCCCCAAGCCCAAGAAGGACGAGCATGCTGACAAGCACGCAAGCCTCAAGAAAAATGCCATGAAGGCGGTGAAGATGGCGTACAGGTAGGTGGAAAGATACATGCCGTATCTGGGGGTCGGGGGTTCGTTGCTCCTCATGCGCTCATGAAAGCGACTTGCGCCTCAGAATATATTGCTCGCCTTGCCGTTACATATGCATTGCATGAGAAATCTCGTCACAACTGGCTTCATGTGGCTGAGACGGTTGACATCCCCAAGAAAGTGCCCAAGGAAAAGTCAGCGATGTTTTTACTTGGGCCTCAGGATATATTGCTCGTCTTGCCGTTACATGTGCACTGCATGAGAAATCTCGTCACAACTGGCTTCACGTGGCTTTGACGCTTGACATCCCCAAGAAGGTGCCCAAGGAAAAGTCGGCGATGTTTGTACTCTTTTTTACAAAGTAGGCGGTGTGCTGCCGCTTGCGATGTGCACAGCAGTGCTAAGACCCTCGTAAATCTCAACGGTAAGAAAGCAAGAGTATCTTTCTCTTGCAGTCATTTTTACCATGCCACAAACAACAGTAGCAGGAAGTTAGCAGTCTATGTCGGTGATTTATTGTGTCATTGCCCGAGTGTGCCAGACTCTTGTTGTTGTGAGCAAGTGAGCATCTGGCGACGATATGTGAGCGTCTGGCGATCATGAGAACATAGCCTCGCGCTCTTAACATGAATGAGGGTTGATGCTGATGCTTGTTTTTCTACCACTCCAGCAGTAACGGCTGCTCTGGTCAAACTATTGTGCCTCTCTGTCGTGATTGGAGCTAGAGGAACAGCAGCACCAGCACCAGCATCAGCGGGAGTGTTGCTTTTTTTCCCTCAAGCCCCTCTTCCTCCGTGTGTTGTGTCGCCAAGACGGCGAGTGGTTGCGTCTGCGGTACCCCTTTTCAAATGTGTCGCCAAATACCGAAGGAAGCATACCTACTCCGGAGTTGCGCTTTGCTCATATCTTTCATTTACCATAGGTTGCATGAGATACCGCACCCCCTGGACTAGGCTATTGTTCATTCAAATCAGTGGCGGTGCCGAAAATTGTGGCATTGGATCCGTCTCGTCGAGAGCTTTCAGAAAAGCTTTCATTAGGTTTTGGCATCCTGTATATTGTGGAACATTCTAGTCGACCTTGGAAAATCCGTCCAGGGGGTGTGGTATCTTACGTCATGCGACCTACGGTAGTCAAATGTCGCGAACTATCGACGGCGAGGCTCTACCAGGATAAAAATGGCCGGTTCTCTCTCTGTTCTATCGCCCCCCCCCCCCAAATCCCCCATTCGGAAACGCTTACCGGTGTGAGTACAACTTCAACTAGTATTTACAGCAGTTGGGGATGGCGGCAACTACCCGGTGTGAGAATTTCGTGATGCACTTCGCAACCAGTCTTCGAGTGGGTTTTTGCTAGGTTCTCGAGTATCGTTGTGGAGGAAATCTAGAGAGAATGAACGAGGAGATCGACTTCACGGTCGACGAGGGAAAGAGACAACTGAACAGTCCTCCCAATAAAACATAAGATATTGCCGCAGGAGGAAAGGTGGGGCTTAAAAACCGTGCTAAACAGGGTAATAAAGCACGATAAGCCATACACATACCCCGGGTGCTGTGTAGACTGGTGGGTAGTTCAGTGGGAAAAACATGCGACACAGACACACCACTACATAACAGATGGGTTATGCTTGCAACAGCACGCAATCCTCTACAGCTGTCCCTCCGTGCACGATGGAAGTCGAGCACACTCCAAACATTGCGTGCAAGCCTAAACTTCGCCGGCCGCACCCTCTCGGTCGAAAACGGCCCCACTTACAAAACCCATCCCCTTGTTGACCGTGCCACTCCGTCGCAGCCAGTACAAGAAGCACAAGAAGAAGAAAAAGTATGGCAGCACTACCCACGGCTCCTCCTCCTCCGGCGGCGGTTCCCACGCCGTGAGCGATATCATGGGCGACATCGGTGGGGGCGACGGTGGCGAATCGAGCTCCTCGTTGAGTTCGGATGACGATGGCGACATGATGGACGTGAGTGCTGCCGACTACGGAAAAGGTGGCCGTCCTGGGCTCGCGGGATATTACTCTGTCGCGAGAAATGGGTGGGCCATCGCACTCTTTTCAGCACCTGCGCGAGAAACCTAAGGCAGAAACTTCTCCGTTGGCATTTTATCGTTCGACTGTTTTTTTCGGGGCCCGTCAAGGTTTTGCCCAGTGCATGAGCACGCACGTTGAAATGACAGTCTGAACCCACAGCTGCTACGGTAAACATACACAGCTCATGGAAGACTATTTTTTATTGTGTTTTTTCCCGGGACCAACTCGTGCCGTCGTTTCGTTCATGTTTCCGTGCGCATCCTCGTCACTTGGTTCATCTGTCCTGTTCTACACACCGCCGTCCCGGGGGGACACATGCTGGGACGGACACGCGAACGCATTCCACGGAACGCCCGGCCGGCGTGCGTTGGCGGACGCAACCCGTGCGCGGTGAATGGTGGATCCAACCTAACCCAACCCAACTCAACTCAACACTTTTGCGGCGGAACACTATACACCAATGATGCACATACATAAGTCCATCAAGGGAATGTTGGGATCTCTCGGAATGGACCCTGATATATCGCTCACGAAGATGGCCCACTCGTTTGGGCTCGGCGGTAATGGGTCCAGCTCGTCTTCGTCCTCGGAAGCGGAGGATGACTGATTTTTTTTCAGGTCTTCGGTCTTGATCGTCGATGAACCGTTTGTGTAAACGAATCAGCGTGGCCTCATCAACTTTACTTGGTCTTTTTCTCCGGCGGTGCGTTTCTCTATCCGGGGGGGGGGGTACTCATAGTCGTGCATGCCGTAGTCGTTAGACCATTGACCTTCTTTCCCTAAATGCCGGGACGGAGTACTCGAAGGTTCTCCCCGGACATGGTTCTTACTAAGCGCGAAGTGCTGTGAGGTATTCGGCGAGTGGCATGGAGGGTGCGCTGCATCCTGCTAAGGGTTTCGACATCTGGTGCTTACTTCCTTGCATGATGACACCTACGAATGTCTTCCTTCGAAGTACTTATCTTCTGGTGCTTTTACTTCTAGAGACAGTTGTAATCACTCTGTGTAACTGCCTTGAGGGCGCTTGACCAACTTAACCCAACGTGGTGCGATCATCCCCCTTGCGCGGAGTGAGGGTTCTCGAACCCGCACAAAATATTCTACTCGACCACCATTTTGATCCGGGGAGGGGGGAAGGCGTTACTCGTTTGTTCATGTGTGGAGACCCCTCCCTGCGGTTGGTCCCCAAGTTAGCTGTGATCGAAATCGGTTTTGTTGTCGGTGTGCATGTATTTTGATATCACATGGACGAGAGAAAAATATCAACAGAACTATATTGGGTGCGCCAAGGTGCTCTACGGTTTCTCCCCATTTATGATACACGTTCAAGGCGGGGAGAGACGGTCAGATGGTAACACTAAGTTCGGTATGAGCTCCTGTACTTTTTAGCCCCGTTTTTTGTGTATTCCGTTTTGGTATCCATGTTGACTGTCGCAGAGGTTTCTTGCATGTGTCCAGCCTTTCACGGCTGCTTTCGGGTGTGGCAAGCAGGGCTTTCGACGTGTAAAGTGTACTCAGCACTAGATACGGATATACGGAGATCTAGGGGGTTTCGTGTATCATGTTGGCATGTGCTTGTGGAACGGCGATCCCCCTTCTGCCCTTCATGGTTAACATGTTGTATCAAGGTTCTGAGTCAACCTTTTCTCCGTAACCTCTGACGGAAAGCACGCCCGCTACCCAACACGACGAAAAATTTAGTGAAGCCTAGTCAGTTCCGGTTGATCATACCTCCGGAGGCCTGGTTTTATCGGTTTCTGGCCCGTTCGGAGTGCTCTATGATTTCACGGGCGCTTTTGCTAAGGGCGACCAATATTTTTTCGAGGTTCACTAAGTCAGACATCGAGGAACAGGATCAACTGAGTGCTGCGATCTACTCAATGACCCATGGGGGAGAGGATGCGGGGTAGGGTGCACGTGAGGCCTTTGTGGCATCGGTTCCGAGGCACCGAGCGACGAGCGACGAAAAGCTATAGGCATAACTCGGTGCGGGCAGTGGCGGTTTCGCTCTCAAAAAGAGTTAAAAAGAGGTTACGATGGTAAGACTGAAAACTCGAGCTTCTCTCAAAATACAAGATTAAAGTACAAGACAAGAAATGGCCTCCCGCAGGAAAGCAGGAAACGGCAAGCATGTGAATCAGCGGGGCCTGAAGGAAGTACAGATACATGTGGACGCAGAAGTCGATGCTGGGGTGTTGCTCGAGCTCGAGGTTATTCTGGAGCGAGGCGTTCGGGGAGGGCCCCAACGAGACCTCTTCAAACGGCAAGAACGGAGGTGCTTTACTTTCCGAGTAGTACAGCAGCAGGCATGGAACCGGGCATGTTACCACGCCGCAGTGTACCTTGTATGTGGGTATCCGGACGACAACACTGGAGGCAAACAAGAAACCGTTCCTCTTTGTGCGTGACGTATTTTAGCACGCTGGAGAAATCGGTGGATACGAGAGCAAGAGCTCTCTATCGATCACTCTGGGCAAGGTGCTAAGCCTCTCCCTAACGTAGCGTTTCTGATAGAGGGCACATCCTATGGTGGTTGTCGCAGCGAAGAGCGGAGACGACATGGGGAATCGTTGGGCGCTCGAGATGGCATGTATATTCGCATAAGTCGTTTTCAATGGCCCCTACGGTACTTGCTGCTTGAGGCTGAGCCTTCTTCGATGAAACACAGCTACGACAGTCCGCGATAGCGGCTGGGGCCACATTCACTAAGGATAATGCTCCAACGACACTGGCCTCACGGAAGAAAAGAAGCGGGGACAGACCCCACGTTGGTACCACCCCGATGGCAAGCCACACCCTTTTCTCAACCTTGTGTTTTATGTTGGAAGACCGGTACTATTTACTCGGACTCTTGTAGCCGCTAACAACCTGAATATCTCCTAACCCACACCGGGCCACCCAATCGATTAGCGAAAAAACTAAACACCTCCCTCGACGGAGGCTTCTGCTGCCTTTATCCTCCGCATGCAAAATAATCCAAGGTCAAGTGGACGTTTTGCACGTGGCAGAACTTACTCGAGAGCGCTCGCTACGTTATCGTAACTTCTGACATGCCGTAAATCTCATCATTGGAGAGACCGAGCGCTGACGATTGCAGAGGCCATTGGCACAAACGGTGGTCCAATACGGGAACACACCACCTCGCCAGTGAACCACCATATTTTTTGCTCGGTTTAATTGATTACATTTTTCCTCCCCTCTCGTCATCGCAAACGCAGTTGGCCGAGCTCCTGAACTCCACTGGCACATCATTATCTATGCTCTCATATTTCAAGAAAAGGAGATTGAGATTCGGGAAGCACACACAGACACGCTCACCCAGGGTAAAGGGCTCCATGTATAGGCTTGCGTATACTCTAACTGACCCTAATAGTCCGATCCTCAACCATAGTCGGGACCCCCGCCATCCGAACAACATCCATCGGAACTGGAATCAGAGTCGGACCCCCAGTCAGAACCTCCCCACTCCGAGTCGGAGCTCTGGCTAGAGCACGGGTCGCTCGACTCCCCTCCGGAGTCATGGATGCGCCAGCTGGACGAACCCGCGTGGCCGTCGAGATTCATGGACTTGGTCTTCGTGGACAACTTCTTGATCTTCTTTTTCACCTTTTCGTTTTCGAGTAAGCAATCAAACGCCACCATACTCTTAGTCTTGTTTACCTTTTCGTTGTTGAGCAAGCAATTCAACGTTACATTCTTCTTCGTCTTCTTCTTCAATCTTTTCGTTGTTACAAGGTGCAACAATCTAGATTGGAAGAATCGACAGCATGCTGTACCAGGCTGATTGTGACCCGTCTCCCAATCTCAATGTAGCGGTTTCACATGAAGGTATTGATCTTGATGGGCTGGGCGCATTTGTTCCGCCGCTGCTTGCTGTCATTGTGGCAGGTTGTCGAATCTCGACACTATGATTCCTCTGTCTGTTAGCATCAAGTTTGCGGCCAAGAATGGACAATGTAAATGATTACGTAGTACCGAAGCTCGAATCATGCCAGGTGGGGAATGTGCAGCCTTTCTATGGTGCGGATGCTTTGTTTTTCGAAAGGTGTGTGTCTGTCCTCCCTTTATGTACTATATGCTGTACCAGGCTGATTGTGACCCGTCTCCCAATCTCAATGTAGCGGTTTCACATGAAGGTATTGATCTTGATGGGCTGGGCGCATTTGTTCCGCCGCTGCTTGCTGTCATTGTGGCAGGTTGTCGAATCTCGACACTATGATTCCTCTGTCTGTTAGCATCAAGTTTGCGGCCAAGAATGGACAATGTAAATGATTACGTAGTACCGAAGCTCGAATCATGCCAGGTGGGGAATGTGCAGCCTTTCTATGGTGCGGATGCTTTGTTTTTCGAAAGGTGTGTGTCTGTCCTCCCTTAATGTACTATAATGTACATCCGTTTTATTCCTTTCTGTAAATTTGGGTCCGTTCCAGTAGCCATCGAAGGGTTTCTCTACAGCAGCAGTGTAAGGAAATATACAAGTCGGACATGCACATTGGATGCTGCAATCGGGGAAGTTGGGTTAGGGTTAGGGTTAGGGATAGGGATAGGGTCTGCGTATCCTCTACCTGCTGTATTTTCTCATAAATTGAATTCTCGCGAAGGAGGTCCAAATCTGGATGCCATCGCCTCAGCAGATACGACTATACCATAGTCTATAGTGTTAGGCACGCCCGAGAAAAAAGATAAAATATCAGATGAAGCGAATAAACAATCCTTCGGCACAGCACCGAGAATCATCTCATGACGTACCTTTTTTTTCTCAGGGCTCGAAGTGGATCCTACGGATTCATCCATTATCTTCTTGAGGGCCTTGGCATCTTTTAGCGTTTTCTTGAGCTTCTTGTACTTGCTTGTTTTCCAAACAAAGGAATCAAGTTGGGTCGGGTCGAGTCGGGTGGGGCCGTGTTAGATTTCTTTGGCAGCAAATTCTTAGATTTTGCTGGCAAGGAAATATCTCGCCACTACTGCTGTACGTGTCTCGAAACACGGAGGTGCTTTACTTCCTCCACGAAAAATCGAGACGGAAACAGAATAGTCTAAAGGTCGAGTCTTACGTCGTGATTATTTCGGAGATTTTTGTTGCTCTCGGTCGAGGGGGGGTGGTTTGCAAGGGAAAAATTATCTGCCAAACAACCTTCCAATAGGCCGTGTATTAACGAAGTGCCAAAAATCAAAATCCAAATGGGCACAAAATCAAAATCAAAATGCGTTATCGTGGAAAACTGAAAAAAGAGGGTCGTGAATGTTAACGAGGATAGGGGACAGATGAGGCAAAAAAATCAAAAAGACCTGGCGCCGGGGGAAGAGCCAGCAGCAAGCGGTGACTTTTCCAGGGTGGGTTTTGCGCTGTTCTGTTCACGTGTTCGGCGATACCTCGCCGAATACCTTACGAATTTCCTCAAGATTGGTATCCGGAAGAAGCTGGTGACATGGGTTGTTGGGCTATGCCAAGGTTTGGCGCCATGAGGTGCCGAATGCGCCGGAAAAAACAGGTTGTGTTGAAGGAAAAATGCCAACGGTTGCGAGCGGTCACTTCAAGTTTGGCGTTTTGGGCCGTCACGGGTTTTGGTTATCCACCGATAACTTTCCGAAGGAGCAAGCAACAGCAACAGCAACGCCACGCGGCGGAAGGTACCTCTCTGCTCCATCTTTTAAGCCCAAGGTCTGCTACCGTGGAATATCGTGCGTATAGAGTTTTGGTTGACCCTGAAGTATCCACGTCAGAGAGCGGTTAGTTCAAGTTCGCGCCGATTTTCTGCTCACAGTTTAGTTTTTCAGCGATAACTCTTCGAAGGAGGAAGCAATAGCACTATATAGCAATGACACACGACGGGAGGTAGCTCTACCCACCATCTTTCTCGTACAAGGTTAGATGCCTTGGGGTATCGTGGGTGTGGAGAAAAAAGGTTGCAACTACCCTATCCCGCACGGAACAGCCCGAAAAAGCTGCGCAGCCCTGATCTGATCGTCAGTCCGTTCACCGCTTGTCACGATCGACATTTTCTCCTCGAGCACCCAACAAGCCGGCCCGGTTTTTGGCTTGCCGGCTAGCAGAGTCTTCTGGCTACAAATAACGGTCATGACGTCGGTGGTAGGGTGCCGATAGCCCTTCTATGAGCAGTGTACAGCAGGTCGTGTCGTACACTTGCTTTGCAGCGGCCTCGCGGCTGGCTCCAAGCCTTCGAAGTCTTGAACTTCATGCCTCTTTGATTTTGATTTTGATCAAAAAAGTCCCCCGGGGACTTCTTTCCAGACAGAGGAACTTCCATGAATCGGGCGTCGTCAGTAGGTAGCAGATATTCGGCCAATCAGATCTCGATTTTGATTTTGATTTTTCGATTTTGATTTTTGAAACATCGTTAATATACGGCCTTATGGTCCCTCGAGACAGATTTTCTCCTCAGGGGAAAAATCGGGCCGCTTCAAGTCTTTGTGGGTCACAACATGCTTCAGTTCACTGTTTTGGCTCGTGTGCGACGAACAAGACACCGAGTGCCCTATTTTTGGGTCACCTCCAGAGGGCATGTGTATAATCGCACGCCAGTGACTGCAGTTTGTGGATGTCGTCAGCCAGAGGCCTCTCTGTGGCATGCGTTGTGGATTGATCATGCTCGGATCAACCAGAATAAAAATGGCAACGTCCAAAAAAGTCAACATCGCAACACACTTCGGTTCACGTTTACAGGCCGTGTACAATCAAAACTGGACAATACGCTCTGTTTCTGGGACGCGAGCAGAGCGTTTGTGTATGACCACACGCCATTGGCTCTAGTTTGTGGATGTCATCGGCCGAAAGCCTCTCTCTGGCATGCGTCGTGGACCGGTAGCGGGTGACACACGGAGCAAACACGCGGCGGAACAAGAAAAAAGTCCAAAAAGTCAACACCGCGACACACTTCGGTTCACGTTTACAGGCCGTGTGCAATCAAAACTGGACAACACGATCTGTTTCTGGGACGCGATCAGAGGGTATGCATATGATCACACGCCATTGGCTGCAGTTTGTGGATGTCGACGGCGTAAAGCCTCTCCCTGGCGTGCGTTTTGACTGGTCACACATGCAGCAGGCACAAAAACGGCTCTTTTCGCCCAAAGGCAAGAACGTCAGCAGAGCAATGTGGCAGGGTTGACGTTATCGGCTCGTGTGCGGCCAACACGACGCAGAACGCCCTGAATTTTAGATATCTGCAGAGGGTTTGTTCATTACCTCATGATACTGGCCTATGTTCGGCAAGCAGACGGTGTAGTTCCTCGTTCTGGCACGATCAGGGTGTGACCAGGGGTTGCCCCCCCCCAATTCCAAGCTAGAATTATCAGCCGATCCAGTTGGAAAATGGGCCTATTTTCCAACGGGGCAGCTGGAATCCTAGGAAATATTCGGCGATTTGGAATTTGGGCGTTTGGAATCGGCCAAATTCCTCCGCGTAAGACGCTCAAATAATTATTTGGGCTGAGAAAAGGACCCCCCCCCAAAAAAAATCCCGAATTATCACGACGAATGACTCGGCCTAATAATAATAGTCTACCCAGGTTGCTGGCAACACCAGCAGCTTCGGACAGGAGCTCAGCTCTCCAGATTGTAGAATGCTGGAGACTGTTACAGACGGGGAACGGTCCTGACGTTACAAACCGTTTCGTACAATATGGTCTAGTCTAGTCTAAGGTCTGACCTCTGTCGGGTCGCTCAGAAGTTCGTTCGGAAAGGTTTGAGAGCCAAGACGCGTATCAGAATATGACACCCACCACAGTGGCGGACGCAGACAGCAAAAGTTATATGCACCCCGTGGGTGCGCACATAAGCCGTGCACCCATGCTCACGACAGACCGGAAATACCAGCTGCAGGCGAAAAAAAGGGAACAACGTTACGAAGCTCGAGTCGCTGACTTGACTTTCGTAGCAACGCAGTCGTGTCCCTGCAGCCAGCGTCTAGTTAATTTTCGATTAGGGGCATTTGTTGTGCTTCTTAACTCCAGATGCTCTGCTTTGGCAGGGGCACGAAACCGTCTAAAAACCCTGACCCCACCCAAAAACCCACCCGAGAGGTGCTATGTTGGCGCTGGGTGGCTCAGTTCTAGGTTGTTGCGCCTGTATTAGGGCTAGGTTGGTGTTGAAGGGGATAAATCTAGGTTGATTTGCGTGGCTAGGTGCTAGGTTGGTCCTGGCGTGGCTAGGTGCTAGGTTGGTGGGCCTTGGAGTAAACCTAGGTCGCTCTTGGGTGGTTATGCGGTGTTCGTGAAGTTTTTTTTCTTTTTTCTCCCATCATTGGACTCTGTCGTCTGCCCCTCTGGCCCCTATCGTCCACTTCTACCAGCTCGCCGAGGTCCTCGAGGTCGTTGTCATCCGATTCAGCGAGGATGATGTTGTTCTGCGGGGCCTGGCGGTGGAGGAGGGGAAGACGGAAGCGGGGGGGGGGGGGGAGACACCCCTTGACCGAGTACGGAGGGCAGTATGGGGGATGCTGTATGCCGATGATGCCGGCGTCGTATCGAGGTCTGCAGAAGGACTGGCGAGAATGATGACCATCATCGTTGAGGTGTTCGGGGAGTTCGGGCTAAAGGTGTCGGAGAAGAAGACGGAGACGCTCCTGATGCGCGCAAAGGACAAGCCGACTACAGCATCACAGCCCGCCCCTCCTCCACCGCTGACCATCGAGGCCGCGGGACAGAAATACGCCCAGACGACCGAGTTCCGGTACCTCGGTGGCCTCGTCAACGAACATGGCGACCTCACCCGGGAGATCAACTACAGGAGCAGAGGAGCGTGGGCGTGCCTCAGGCGATATGGCCGGGAGCTCTTCGACAGACCGCAAGCGCTATTTCGACTCAAGATCCGCCTGCTCCAGGCGGAGGCGGTGGAGGCACTGCTGTACG